ACTTGACAGCCCTGTCAGCTTACCTTTATTGATACACTCATCTATATAATAGAATGGCTTAGAAAGGATATTTTACCATGCTAGTGCTACTGCACTGTTGGTTAACTTTGTTAGTCACATGACTTTTGTCAGGCTTATCCTAAACAGAACACTGAGGCTGAAATGATTAGTTGATGAATTGATTAGTTAACCAGTAGAAAATTAACCATAAACAATTTTGATAATTATAGTTAAAGGTCTTTTGCTCATTTAATAGGAAATTAAAACAGTTTAAACACTTTTACAACTGCGGACCCTGTGGGTGCAGCCCGGCTGGTCAAATAAAGTGAACTTAATGAGCATTCTGGTTAATGTTGGAAAAACTTCTTCTGCTTGAATGTTTCAAACTAAAAGCTGTTAAGTTTTCCGTTTATTGGGTGCATGTTGTGTGTGTTTCTGTGTGTGTATGCAATACAGTGGTGCGGGCACAGTGTAGAAAGTGTGTGTTTCTACATATTGATGTGCATGCATTGATCTTCAAGTGTGACCATTCTTGTTACCCACACTTTTGAGATCACATTGTCCTTGCTGTCTACATTTAGTTGATGTTTCCTAAGATTACACTGCCTTAGTTTCACAGTTGACTGAGTGGAGGGTTTGGTGTGGGTCTATGCTGTACTTATTTTAGTGAAGCTGGACTGATCTGCAGTCAATAATACTCGCTAAAGCCCCAGCTGTTTTGTTTTAATCAGATCCCAGGGGTTTTGGCCTGGCTAAATAAGGTTGGCTAATGGTTGTGAGTGACCCACTCCCGTCCTTAGCAGACACCTCCCTGTGGTGTCCTGCAGAAAGATTTAGAAAATGTCTACCTACTCTCTGTACACAGCCTAATGCACAGCTCTAAACATTGCAGTCATGGGTTTGGTTGTGGTTTTCAGAAGGGCTGTGTGTTTGGCAGCTATGACAGCTTCGACAGATTTTGTTTGCATGTTTAAGCTTTTACCTCCTAGCTTTATTAGAACAGTAGATAATATTCCAGACTGGTTTGTTATTGTTAAACACTATAACTAAAATACTACTCAGAGTTTCTAAAAAATATGATATTTGTGTCCAATTTACATCAGTGATTACTACAATCTGCAAACTTTCCTTTCATATGATATACTTGATAAAATGTCCTGTAGTGTTTTCTATGGGAAAGAGCTGTGTAAGTGTGGATTTTTGCGTGGCAGGTAGTGTTTAATTTTTAACCAATAGCAGCATTGCAGAATGTCATCACCTGTTCTCTCACTCTCATAAACTGTGTGTTATACGGTTCCAGTGTTTAACAGAGCACAGTGGGACATTTTGATTGATTATCAAGCCTGATAAAGAGCTTGACACATCCCTTATATGAACCAATAAAAAATATTAGTTTTATATTAGTATATAATATACTTTGTGGTTCCAATTTTTTCTACATTTCATGTTGAGCTTGGTTGGAAAAATGCATTCTTCTCTCTTTTTAAGCCATCAAACATTGGATAAAATTGTGTGCTGGTGTAGAATTAGCTGCAGCCTTGGGTTAGTTGGCCTGTCCAGTGAATTCTGACATTTCTATCCCACTGCAGTATGTGGAATCCCATGGATATTGCATTGCACTGTTATCCATTCAAAACAAAACAAATGGCACAGTCTCATGCGCTGCAGGGAAACACACAGATTACATGACCTTGTCAGCGGCCTACATGGCTATGACATCATATTTATGCTTATCCTAAAAAGATGATCTCCTTTCAACAAAAGGGAAATGAGCTTTGAGTTGACTTTACCTGCCCTTGTCTTAACCTGGCCCGTCTGTCTGGTCTCTGCCTTCCCAAAAGGCTGATGATGCCTCTGCAGATCAGTGAATTTCAAGGTTTTCAAGGTTTACAAAAGAGATTCCCCTTTTGTGACTTGACCTGTATGTGTGAACTACACTCTGACTGCTAACAGTATCTGTTTTTTCTTATTTTCATATTAGGGCTGCACAATTATTTAAAATATCATAAAAATTGCAATATGGCCAGGTGCAGTATCCAAATTGCAGAAGCTGCAATGTTTGGATGAAAGTAAATTGTGTGACAAAACAGCATTAATATTATACTAATATTATTAAGTAATGTAGTGCTGCCCTGGCCTACAAATCTCCAGACGTGAGAAAACATGTTTGTTTGGTACCAACAAATGTCAAATCATTTTTAAATATTTTTTTAGATTTTAGATTTAAATCTTTTTTTTTTTTCAGTGAAAATGAAAATTGTAATGCAAAAATGGTCTTTCCCACTAATTGTGATTCAAAATATTTGATTTGATTTTGATTTCATGAGAATTTGTATTTTCATAACTGAGGTGTTTTAGGAGCTAACAGTATTCAAGAAAAGGCTCTGCCTGTTGAACAAGCTCCCAATAGACTTAATAATATGAAACCTTTGTCATGTACTGAAAAAGACTGAGGAGATTAGATTGGTGAGGCTGTTGCAGCAGCAAGTCATGTCGGCTTGAGGATCAGCAGAGTCATAAATAGAGAGAGCTGGTCTTTATGTTTTTAACACCAGTTAAAAACATATATTCATCAATGTCACCCTCAGACTCATCCAGGCAGGGATCGGATTGGGCTGCACAAAAGCCATTGCGCTCAAGTGCTACTGGATGTAACATTATCATTAAGTTGTGTCCATGACTCTTTAAACTGGCTCGTTTCTTAGTTGCGTGACCTATCCTGTTCCTATTTAATTTACATGCTGTTTTTAATCATTTGCTTTTAGTGGAAATGTAAACCCTAATGAGAGATGGATTAGTTCTCAGCCTAGTTTTTAGTTGTCGTACACACCTAAAATCCTTCAGTCCCATATGTTGAGGACATCACACCAAGGGCGTGTCCAGCCATTAAGTCTCATATTAAAATCTGGTTGATTGCAGTGTTGGAGGCTGGGCCATCACGCCAAAAAGCAAAGAGAAGACTAAACAGAAATAGGATCCTCAGTGCCACCCTGGGTTGAGTCTCAGTGCCTTTCCTTGGTCATCTCAGTTAAACTGAAATGTACATGACACTGTACTAAATCAGAGGGGATGATATCACCTCAGCTCACCCTCCTGTTGACTTCCTTATATGTCCAGGAATACACTAAGAACATTATGCTCCAGTGCTTTTCCATTTTTGTTGCATTTGTTTTTTAAGCATCCAGAATCCAAGAGAAGGAGGAAGAGATGTGTGTTTGTGTGTGTGTGTGTGTGTGGTGAGCAGTAATCCTCAGAGACTAAAATCACTGTCCCATCTGGCCAATGTGTCATAGTCTGTGTGTAAGAGGGAATCCTTCTTTAGGAGTCTAACCCTACATCACCCCACCTTGTCTTACTCTCTTGTGTGTCTCATTCTGCCACCTGAGAGCCCCGAAATGAGAGTGATCTATTAAATAAAGCACACCTTCTACCTCTTTGTTCCACAAAATAATTACAGATGTGTCTCACATGGATGTCATATTTAGTAATATGCTTCTCTTTTGGGTCACTCACAAATAAAATCATATTTACTGTATGGTGGCCTCAGTGAATGCAACATGTCCATGTCTTTCTTTTGTGCAGAAGCGTGTAAGTTTCTGCATTATTTAGTATGTTATGCAAATAATAATAAACAACAGACACTTACATAACACATCCAGCATATGGCATGCAATCCATCTTGTAGTACACAGCATCATGTGTGCGTTTTTAAAGTGAGCTCGATCATGATGAGGGTGCATGCAAACGCTCACAGTATCTCATATAAAAGCACTTAAAAGATGTTTTTCCAGGATTATTTCTCATATGGTGAAAATACACACAACTGACTGCTTATAATCCTGTAGGGTTAAAAAAGACCAAGCAAAGCCCCTCATGAGCCTCTTTGAAAATGTAGAATTGGGGGCACCTGGGTAGCTCACCTGGTAGAGCTGGTGCACCATGTGCCGAGGCTGCAGCGGCCCAGGTTTCCAATCTGACCTGTGGCCCTTTGCTGCGGGTCATGCTCTCTCTCCCCTTTCCTGTCAGTCTGTCACTATCAATTAAAGGCAATAAAAGCCCCCAAAAACAAAATTTCGAGTGAATATGTAAATAAACAGCACAGTGGTTTAAAGGCAGTTTTGAACAGTGTGAGGTTGGAAAATGTAGTATCCAAAGAAAATTTAAGTAATGATTGATTAAAAAAACCGAAATTTTAGATTTCTGAACAGAAATTAATCTGATGGAATCCAATGATCAAATAAAATGCAATAAACAAACTATTTTGAAGCACAATGAATAAAATAAGTGAATAAAATATATAACAATCAAATAATCCTACTTATGAAAGGCAGTTTAATTATGGTGTTTTTTTTCGAAAAATAATCGGCATAATAAAAATAATTATTAGTTGCAGCCCTACCTTCCTCCCCCACTCTACTCTTTTGCTTTCTGCCCTGACTCAAACTCCCACTTCTCCCTGCTTCCTTTTCTTCTTCCTCTACCTTCATTTAGGTGTGCTAGTAGTGGATGTTCAACCCACAAGGCTATATTTGTAGACTATGTATATACAGTAACAGATGGACCGACTCGTCGGAATGTTTCACTGTTGCTAGGACACGTGGAAACATCCTGTCAGCTGTTAATACAAGCAGATTGATGACAAAAAGAAAAACAGGGACAAAGTACGTTGATATTTTTGTAGGAAAACTGGCTAGAAAACAGCATATTTCTTTTATTTTGTAGCAAATCTTTTAAATATATGTTGGTATGCATTTCTCAATGTTAGACAGAAAAAAATTACTCAGTAGGGTGGTTCATGTCCGCAGCAAAATCATTGGTAATCAACAGAAAAGTCTGTTTGTTCTGTATAAGACACAGTTCTTAAATGAGGTCAGATTCTTAAAACAGTAATTATACATAGTAATAATGGTTTCTGCTTTGTTATTTTTTAGATTACTGCTACAGTAAGTGAGTGATATGTGGTGATGACTGACTAAATAAACAGTTTTCTCTCCTTGCAGCTTCCTTATGGTCCTGGTATGTCTCATCTTCAGTGTCCTGTCCACTATAGAGCAATATGCAGACTTTGCCACAGGAACCCTCTTCTGGATGGTGAGTACTTTCATTGTTCTAATATATCAAACATAAAACCTCCACAGAACTCAATAAATAGGCTAAATCCAGAAGCATCTTCATAAGTCCCACATGGATTATAGGTTTTAAGGTTGCATCAGTCATGAGGAGTTGCTGTTATTAACTGTAGTTCTACAGAAATAATGGATTTACAGATTTATCAGTTACTTCTACTACTAGTATGCGAGGCCCTGGCCTGACCATGGGGAGCAACTAAACTAAAGGGTGATAAGGTGTAACTTCTCCCACTTTAATAAAATGAATAAGAGGGTCAGACAGATGTAAGTTAAGTACAATTTGTACACATCCCCCACAGTCCTAAGATGAGGTCTAATCATGCAGATTAACCTAAAACACGTGTGATTGGACCATGTGTGTGCAGGATTTTAGTTAGTAAAAAAGCCTTTACTAACACTTCAAAAACGTTTACTGGTTTCAGCTTTTCAAATGTGGAGATTTGCTATCTTATTCTATTTTATTTAACTGTAAATTGTTTTATTTCACTTCATTAGGTCCAGTGTGTAACATTTTGGAGGTTCTATTGGCAGAAATGGAATATATTATTTATGGGTATGTTTTCATTAGTGTATAAATCACCTAAATATAGGAATTGCTATGTTTTTGTTCCATTAGAATGAGCCTTTTATATCTAAAGACACCGCAGGTCACCTTCCATGGAGTCCGCCTTGTTGAACCGCTGTGTTTCTACAGTAGCCCTGAAGGGACAAAACAGACATTGGCACTTCATAGGGGCATTCGTGTTTTTCCCCTTTTCTGCAACCACAGTAGTTTCTCCTTCATGCTTAGGAGGGGGAGGGTGAAGCCAGGGAGTTGCGATCTGCAACTACACCGCTAGATGCCACTTAATCCTGCACACTGGACCTTTAAAAAATTATTAAATATTAATGGGTAATGAAAATAATCATTGCAGCCTACATAGTGGCATATGTATCCGTTGATGAAGGTGTTATCACTTCTATATTGAGAGAATGGATTTAGTGATGCTTCCTGGACAATTAAGACATTTCTTCTGAAATGAATATATATTTTCTTAGAGAGAAGGAACAAAAAGAGTGACAGATGGTATTCTAAAGCTACTATAGCTGCACTGCAGTACTCTATTGTATCCACATGATGGAGACAGAAGATCTTGGCTGGGAGGATTTCTACCCACCATCTTACACCTCGGCCCAACGATATTACAAGCTCAAAAAAAAAATCACTTTCTCTTATTGCAAATGCCATCACACAACATCTGCCAGCTTGTATTGCATCAATCCAAAGCCCTTTACAGTAACATGTATGTACTGTAGATTATTAGAATGGGAATGCACAGGGGCCAGATTTTTTTTTTTTAACCTATTGTGACAACACTAATTATGCAGAATCATTTTGGCTTCACACAGACTGCACTTGTTGATGCTGGTAAATTGACTTTTTTCGAGCTTATTAGGCTATTAAGGCTGCTAAGTGATGCAATAAATCCAGGGCTTACAACAGGTAGAGAAAATTGTGACGGCTATTTGGAAACTCTACAAAGAACTTGCATCATCTGTCTCCTGCTTGCACACTGGGAATATAAATACACATGTAGCTACTGTGTACTCACACAACTTACGCAGACACCTACACAAAGACTGCACATAGACAGACATGGACAGACACACAATCACAAAATACACACATGTACCACCTCCTGAGTCGTGGGGGCAAACAGAGGACAGAGTGGACACTCTGTTCTGTAAACTTTTGGCCAGTGCCCTTTGAAGATCTACTATCACGGTTATTCATTTATTTCTACACAGGAAGAGCCAAATACTCTCTATCATTATCCCTAACTGTCTTTCTATATCTCTTGCTCTCTTTCCACCTTTTTTTCTGTTGCTTCATCACTCAAGAGACCAGCAGTAGTCAGCCCCATAAAGACATAGAGAGAAATAAAAACATTTCTTTATACTAATTACTGCTAGTCTTTTCTCTTGAATAGTCGAAACCTGTTTATGTATCTTGTACACCTGGCCGTGTTTGCTTGTGTATTTGCAATGCATGGTTTCAGTTCAATATTAATTGTAAGATAAGATAATAGCTTATCTTGTGTGTGTGTGTTGCTTGCTCTTATGCCAGTGTATGTGTGTGTGTGTTTGAGGGGGTGGAGCTCTGTGAGCGGTGTCGTGGTGGCATATAGTGGTGGTAGTAACTATACTTAGAAAGTTCAGGGTTAGCTGACATTCGTGAATCACAGGCTGCTTGTTTTGGAAGGCAGAGGGGACATTAGTCCTTGAGGATATTTGGCCTTCAGGGCAGCTGCCAAAGCAAAGCTAGCCAGCTGGGCAGGAGGCACAGAGGCATGTACACACACACACACAC